GACAGAATCACTGTCTTAGCATTTATTTCCCTCCACTCTTTTCCCCTCCACGTCCACATTCATGAAAATGGAATCTCAGTACATGTATTTTTTTTTGTGGTTTTGATTTTCCATTATATTGTAAGCATTTCCAGTGTTATTAGATATTCTCTGAAGACATCATTTTAATGGATGCATATTAGTACCAGAATTTATTTCTTTAACTTTCTTGGCTACACCATGTGGCTTGTGGGATCTTAGTTCCCCAACCAGGGATTGAACCTATGACCTTAGCAGTGACAGCATGGAGTCTGAACCACTGGATGACCAAGGAATTCCCATTTAGTATCATAATTTAACCATTCACCTCTTTTGGACCATTTAAGATGTTTCTAATTTTGCACTATTATTGACAACAGTTGAATACACTTATGAATAAATTTGATTTCCTTCAAGTAATCCAGTTCCTAGGAATTTATAATAGGATATAAACTTTTAAAAACATTCTTGCTTAAAATCTGTGGCTAAGTTGCCTTCCAGAACAGTTGTACCAATTTACAGTCCCACTAGCGACGTATAAAAGTTCTCATTTCATGATGTTTTCAAAAAAGCATGAGCAACTCAAATTGCCATCCTGATGACAGAGCAATTATCTGCCTGAATCTGGCCCTGTCTGCAAAAGGATTAAGGTTCCTTCTTGCTGTTTCCCTCAGAAGAAAACTCGATTTGCACCCTTCTGTGAGCAAAAAACAATCAGTTCACTATCACAGACTTAAAAGGAATCAAGTATCAGCTTTATTACAAGCAACTGTTGAGCTTCCCCGGAGAGAACAGTTAAATCTTCCCATATTTTTAATAACCTGCATTTACAGAGAAAATACGGAGCACACTGGCCTCTGTGTGTACTGATACAAGTGAAATCAGCACCACTAATAAAAGTGAATCTTGTGTGTTACCCTCACCGTTCACACCAGTTTTGATTACTTTCAGAATGACAAAATTTCAAGCCCCAGAATAATCTGAAGTACAAGTTTATGTGCTCCCCCAAATTAGAAACATATACACATCATTGTTGGAGAAGGGAATGGCGATCTACTCCAGTATTCTTGCCTGGAGAATTCCATGGACAGAGGAGCCTGGCAGGCTACAGTCTGTGGGGTTGCAAAGAGTCACACAACTGAGTAACTCACACACATACATCATTGTAACACCCTAACATAATCCATTTCTTGTCAACTCCCGTCTGTGCTCTTGCTCTAAACACCAGTGTTAAGCATATAGGTTGGCACGCATGCTCAGAAGAGAAAAGCTATCACATCGGGCTGCTGCCTTAAAACACCAAGTGTAACTTCAAATCACTGCTTGGTTCCTCAACAAAATCCTAAGTAAGATTCTTAGGCCAACATAAATGAACTCCATTCTGAAAGAGAACTGCTGATTGCTTGTAAGTTCATAATGAGGACTGTTTCCTACTGGGGCTTCCCTGGTGGTTCAGATGGTAAAGAATCTGATGTGGGTTTGATCTCTGGGTTGGGAAGATCCCCTGGAGAAGTGAATGGCAACCCACTCCCATATTCTTGCCTGGAAAATTCCATGGACAGAGGAGCCTGGTGGGCTACTGTCCATGAGGTCACAAAGAGCTAGACATGACTGAGCAACCAACACAATGAGAAGAGATACTGAGAAAGAATCTCTTATTGACCACTGGTGATGTAAAACATCTTGTCAATTTCCGGTTAGTTTCTACCTCTCCATTTATGTTTCTGACATTACCCAAGAAGATGGATTTATATCAGTGAGGCACTGTGCATCTATGGTGACAGGGGAAAAATAATGCTGCTGCCTAAGAATGCCCTATAATTTAAAAAAAAAAAAAAAAGACACATACCTTCCAAGAACTGAACATAGTATGGTCACTTGCCAATTAGGGATCTAAATCACTTTCAATGTACAGAAGCAGACACATTTTCGTTGTCTCCTTTCCCTAACAGAAGCGTCCTTTCTCGTTGAAACAGTCTGCACTTTTATATGTAAAGTCAGAGATTTCTTAACACAAGCAGACCCAAGAAATGCCAGGGGACAAACACCACGTAAGGAAATGTAGCACGATGTTGCCTACGCCGCTGACGGTGGAGTGGACAGGAACTCCCATCCTCTTCCGCTGTCAAACCCCAGATCCACCCCGTTTCAAAAACACACGACTGTCTTCCCATAATTTGCCCTCTATCCTTCCCTTCTGGTAAATTTCCACAATTGCAATTATACTAAAAATGATGTAACAATCGTTCGAGAGTTTTACGGACAAAACCACTGGAGGAGATGTCACGAGGGCAGGGAGGGATGTGGAGGGGCAGGCAATGTGACCTCTGTGACCAGGAGCCGGGGACCACGGTCAGCAGATATATATGAAATCAGAACAATGGATATTCATCTCCTAGAGCCACCATAACAAATGGGTGCCATAAAACCAAAAAACACCTTACTGTCTCACAGTTCTGGAGGTCAGAAAGGCCAAAAGCAAGGTGCTGGCAGAGTTGGGTTTTCCTGAAAGCTCTGAGGGAGAATGTTCCATGCTTCTTCCTAGCTCCTCAGGGCAGACGGCAACCCCTGGAGTCCCTTGGCTTGTGGCCGCATCACTCTTCTCTCTGCCTCCGTCTTCACGTGGCCACCCCCTCCTGTGCGTCTCTGCCTCTCTCTCGTGGATTTCTTATAAGGACACCCACCATGTGAATGTAGGGCCCATCCTAATCTAGCACACCCTCACGTTAACTAGTTACATCTGCAAAGGTCCTATTTCTAAATAAGAACATATTCTGAGGCTCCAAGTGGACACGAATTAGGGGAACACTCGTCGAACCAGTACATGATGACGCGCTCACATGCAACCTTCCTATATACAAACCTGAAATGGGTCACTGCACATTCATTCTTCCTCAGTCTTTCCTCACCTCTGTCTCCTACAATTGTGCCTGCCATCTACAGGCTCTCAGTCATGTCTGCTGAATGATGAATGAAGGTATCTTCCAAGGCAGGACCCAAGCACTTCCCTGGAGTGTGGATCTGATCAGGGATGGCTACGCTCTTACACAATCCCCATCCACTATCTCCGGAGTGGTTTTCTCCAACACAGATTGAGACATTAAAGGGAAGCAAAGATGCCTGCAAAGCAATCGTAATGCAGGATTTTCATTTTTATAATCCTGCCCCACACCCTTTTGGCGTTCTCAAATACTAGAGTATTTAACTCATCCATTTAGTGAACACCTATGACATGCCGGCTGATCTCCCCTGGTGGGTCAGATAGTAAAGCGTCTGCCTACAATGCGGGAAGACCCGGGTTCAATCCCTGGGTCAGGAAGCTCTCCTGGGGAAGGAAATGGCAACCCACTCCAGTGTTCTTGCCTGGAAAATCCCATGGACGGAGGAACCTGGTAGGCTACAGTCCATGGGGTTGTAAAGAGTTGGACACGACTGAGCGACTTTACTTTCACTATGATATGCCAGGAATTCGTCTAAGTATGGGGAACGGGAGACACAGTTCTGGGGTTAAACCAAAAAAACTGAAGTTTGTGGATTAAACTCTAAGGAGAGTTATGCCCACAATTTTGAAATTACTTTTAATGCTACAACTTTGCTAATCTTTGTTGCTTCCATATTTTCCATATTTTGTTAGCCATACACATCATTTAAAAAAAAAACAAAAAGCAGTTTGTGAACTTGTTTCAGGAAAACTGAAAAACAGTGGTCCACAATCTGGAAGGAAAGAAAGAAAGAAAGGATGCAACTCAAAGAGAAACAGGCAAAACCCAGAGGGCTGAGGGTAAGAGGAACCTTGCCCAGAAAGCCAGTCTGAGATCAAACCAGGGTTGTGGATATTTGAACGCAACAGTTTTTGTGTTCCAAGCAACACTTCACCTCCTGAAGCCTCATCACAGTGGAACAGTTTAGCTGCACAACTTGGGAAGTTCCTACAAATGAGTGGTAAGCTGTAGCCCTTATTTCATTGATTACTCTCTACCAACTCAGCCCATGAAAGGCAGGTCAACCTGAGGGGAGAACCCAGGCCCTCCCTGACCTCAGACTGCCTGCGTAGAAGAGAACCAAACACCTAAGGAAGTGACGTGGATAATACAAGACGTGTGAGGAGTGTCTCTGCTATAGTGCCTGTTCCTCAAGATTCACAAAAAGCTGTTCCTGAAATAGCATCAACAGAGCACAAATTTTTCACTGATTCACTGTCAGCTTCACTAGGTGACCCCCTAGGACAGGGGTGGCCCCCGGGTGAAGGCCACAGTGACAGACAAAACTTTACAAGAAGTACGGAGACCCCGGCTATGCCAGACGTTACCCTTCTGGTTGCCAGAAGTCTGGGGGAGCTGGGGAGCGGGCCTGGGGAGAAGGCCAGAGCAGCTGGGGGCACTCAATGGGGCTCACATAGCAGCTGTTGGACTGGCCCAAAAAGTTCATCTGGCTTTTCCGCAACATCACATGGAAAAATCCGAACGAACTTTTGGGCCAACCCAATGTTTATCAGCTACTATGGAAGAATTTTGTGTTATTAACCAGTAAGAGATAAAACACCAACCCTGTGTTTGGGGCCTTAGAATAGGGGTTGGCAGACTTTTCTGTACAGAACAAGATAGGAAATATTTTGGCTTCTGTAAGGTCATATGGCTTCTGTCATAACTACTCAGTGCTACCACCGTAGTGCAAAAATCAGCCGCAGATAACAAATACATGAGTAAGTGTCTGGGCATGTTCCAGTATAACTACAGGAACAAGTGGCAGTCCAGTCAGAGCCTACGGTATGTGGTTGGCGACCCCTGCCTTACAACAATGGCAGAGCTCACCATCCTATGGAGCAATCAAGTCTCCAACCTCAACCTCATGAGCACAGTCTTACCAAATGATTTCACCAAGTCACTGATGATTCGTACCTGTGTTCTTGATCTTCACAGACCTCCAAGGGACTGAGTCAAAGTCAGCCATCCAACCACCGCAATGCAAATGAAGATACTCACCCAGAAAAATCTGTAGTGAGAATTCCGTAGTGGAAGATGTAGATTCGACTGATGTGGCAGATTGTAAGGTAGCCCATCGCTACAAAAAAGGAGTATCTGCAACCAAAAACACAGAGGATCAGATCATTGTGCACGCACTCAGTCGGCTTTCTCTCCTTTCTCTCCCTCACCCCCCACATGCGATTAGCCACAAAGTCCTATCCGGCCCACCTCCCTCCCCAGCACACCCCTGCTCCTCACTTGCACACCCACGGCTCTCAGCCCTTCATCTTTTCTCATCTGGACCACTGCAGCCGTCCTCAACTCGGGCAGCATGACGGAATCACCTGGGGAGTAACTGGCCCCACCCCCGGATATTCTGATTTCATTGATATGGGTGCATCTGGCAGGTGTCACTCCAACGTGCAGCCAGCGCTGTGAACCGTGGACCTGTAAGGTCCTGCACTCAGATCCTCCTCTTCCCAAACCATCCTGTTTACACAACGATCTTCCTAAAATACAAATCGTCCTATTGCCAACCACTCCCTTCCTGAAACACTTTGTTCCCTTGGCTTCCATGCTCCTTGTTTCCTTCCCAGCTTTCTGGTTCTTCCCAGGCTCTTGCTCAGCGCATCTTCCTCCCCCCTACTCCTCAGGTCTCAGCAGTCCCAGTGCTCTGCTCAGGACCCTCCCTGCTGATGCCCGAGGCTCCAGTTTCCACTTTCTCCTGTTCACTCCCCGGCCTCCTTCAGAGGATCATCCTATAGCATAAACCAGCAAGGTACACACACACACACACATGCATGCCATTAAAAACATTCATCAACTTGAACATATAAAGATCTGTGATAATCTGATTAACCACCGTCTCCCTTACAAGCCTGAAAGTCCCATGAAAGTAAGGATGGTCATGTGTGTTTCATCCACCACTAGCTGCTACTGTTGCCAGGGTTGAATGAACACACAATAAATGAATGTTTCTTGACTTAAAAGTCGCAGGGGTCAATCCCTGGTTCGGGAAGATCCCACATGCCACAGGACAACTAAGCCCAAGCACCACAACTACTGAAGCCCGCGTGCCCTAGAGCACATGCTCCGCAGCAAGAGAAGCCAAATGTACCGCAACTAGAGAGTAGCCCTCACTGTCTGCAACGAGAGAAAGGCCGGGCACAGCAACAAAGACCCAGCGCAGCCATAGATAAATAAAAAGAGCCGTTTAAAAAAAAAAAAATTCTCGTTCATCCACCCCATCCCTACTCCCTACTGTCTAATCACATCAAAACTCCCGAATACAGCATTCAAGGTGCTTCACATGCTAAGCTCTACCTTAGCAGTTCTGAACTTTCTGGATCATGTTCCATGTCCATCATGTGCTAGACCACACCAGACTGCTCCCTTCCCACAATTAAATCCTGAATTTTCAGGTTTCTTTCTCCTTCCTCTGCCTGCAACTCTTTGCTCCCTCCTATGGTCTGTCTGGACACAAATTATCTGATATGGCTGAGCTCTAATGTTACCTAGCATAGTCTTGCTCCATCCACCCCACCCCAACTCCTAACACAATTCACGGCTCAACTGCCTGTGTTTCTCTAGTGCCACATGCTAACATATATCATCATAACATTAAAATTACACATCTGTATCTCTTTCCCCAATTCATTGTGACTTTGAGCACCCAAACTCTTGCCCACCAAGTGGTTCACTTAACTATTAGTTGAAATGAACTAAACTGAGAACATTAAACACCTTGGAAGAAAGGTTATGACCAATCTATGAAGCCCGCGTGCCCTAGAGCACATGCTCCGCAGCAAGAGAAGCCAAATGTACCGCAACTAGAGAGTAGCCCTCACTGTCTGCAACGAGAGAAAGCCCGGGCACAGCAACAAAGACCCAGCGCAGCCATAGATAAATAAAAAGAGCCGCTTAAAAAAAAAAATTCTCGCTCATCCACCCCATCCCTACTCCCCACTGTCTAATCACATCAAAACTCCCGAATACAGCATTCAAGGTGCTTCACATGCTAAGCTCTACCTTAGCAGTTCCGAGCTTTCTGGATCATGTTCCATGTCCATCATGTGCTAAACCACACCAGACTGCTCCCTTCCCACAATTAAATCCTGAATTTTCAGGTTTCTTTCTCCTTCCTCTGCCTGCAACTCTTTGCTCCCTCCTATGGTCTGTCTGGACACAAATTATCTGATATGGCTGAGCTCTAATGTTACCTAGCATAGTCTTGCTCCATCCACCCCACCCCAACTCCTAACACAATTCACGGCTCAACTGCCTGTGTTTCTCTAGTGCCACATGCTAACATATATCATCATAACATTAAAATTACACATCTGTATCTCTTTCCCCAATTCATTGTGACTTTGAGCACCCAAACTCTTGCCCACCAAGTGGTTCACTTAACTATTAGTTGAAATGAACTAAACTGAGAACATTAAACACCTTGGAAGAAAGGTTATGACCAATCTAAACAGCATATTAAAAAGCAGAGACATTACTTTGCTCATAAAGATCCATACAGTCAAAGCTATGGTTTTTGCCGTAGTCATGCGTGGATGTGAGAGCTGGACCATAAAGAAAGCTGAGTGCCGAAGAATTGATGCTTTTGAACTGTGGTGTTGAAGAAGATTGTTAAGAGTCCTTTAGACTGCAAGGAGATCCAGCCAGTCCATCCTAAAGGAAATCAGTCCTGAATATTCATTGGAAGGACTGATGTTGAAGCTGAAACCCCAATACTTTGGCCACCTGATGCGAAGAACTGACTCACTGAAAAAGACCCTCATGCTGGGAAAGATTGAAGGCAGGAGGAGAAGGGGATGACAGAGGATGAGATGGTTAGATGGCATCATCGACTCACTGGACATAAGTCTGAGCAAGCTCTGGAAGTTGATGATGGACAGGGAAGCCCGGCGTGCTGCAGTCCATGGGGTCACGAAGAGTCAGGCACGACTGAGCGACTGAACAGAACTGAACTGAACGGTTCAGGAGCCCATCAAAAACATACATAAATTCACAAGGATGATTTTCAAGCAAGTGTAATAAAACTGGGAAGATGTATATTCTGATACTGAATGATGTTGAAATTCACAAATTCACATTAAAATAACTCATGAAGCCTGGATCAACCTCACGAATAGTAAAGAAGGGATAATAAACATTCATTTGCTGGCAAGGGAAAGCAGGATGCTGAGCCAGATACAGTAAAGCATTCCATGACTTTAGCTCTCCTCATTATTTGCAAGCAAAGATGTTACCACACAGAAATGATTTTTCCCTCCCTTGGGTTCAACCGTAACCCTTTCCAGACCAAGAAGATGGTGCACAAAGCAAATGTTTAAGAAAAAACTCCCTTATGAGCTGAAGCACTAGAATGGAGTTAGACATTTTCCCTCCATTATCTGTTCCCTTTCCCAAGCAGTTCACAAGGGTCAAGGCAGTAGCAGAAAGAAGATTCGAGAGACTTTTCCAGAATCCTTTCAAATCAAAAGGAGCTACACCCATGCATTCCCAGGACCCCTCACCCAGAGAGAAAACCAAGTTCAATTCAATTATTATAATACAACCCACCTACCAAGGGTGGGGCCAAGTACGGAGTCCCCAAACAATAGAGCAATACATTCATTTCCCCTGAGAAGTCTGAATCCAGGAGCAGCAGACAGAGCATGTATTCTGGGCACAGACCAACAGGAGTTCAAATCCGAGCACTGGCCAAACTCATCTGCAGGTGTGAGAAGTCAGGCTAGTCGTTATTTTAGGAAGGAAGGGTGTGGTAGAGATTGGAACATGAGTGACGGTAACACAGACCTCACTGACCTTCGTGGAAGTTGCAGGGGCGTATTCACTTTGTGAAAACTCACTGAACTGCAAAGCCATTTGTATACCTGAGGCTTCCCAGGTGGCACCAGTGGTCAAGAATCCGCCTGCCAATGCAGGAGACACAAGCCGTGTGGGTTTGATCCCTGGGTTGGAAAGATCCCCTGGAGTAGGAAATGGCAACCAACTCCAGTATTCTTGCCTGCGAAATTTCATGGACAGAGGAGCCTGGAGGGCTACCAAGGGGCCAGACACGACTGAATGACTGAGCACACATACCCATTCACCTTTCTGAACTTTCATCATTTTCCATCTCAGGGGAAAAAAAAAATCTATATCCCATAGACTTGTCCTAGAAAGAATATATTTGCCATAATGATAGGAAATAGTATATGTAACTGTATATTGATATACTCAATAAGAGTTTATGTATCAAAATAATGAAACATATTTAAGAGAGCTTGGCCTCAAAAGTTGGTAAGTGCATCGCCAAGTTCCCACACGAGGCCTTCCATCCCAGGAGGTACTGTATTCTGTTCCAGTGGGTTCATATAAGGTAAGTGAACACTCGTGATTTTTGCCCAACAGAGTGGCCTGGGAAGGAAACAGAATCGGTACTCCACGAGCTCTCTAGATAAATCCTGAGTAACAGGCAGCTCTGCAGTGGGTTAGGTCCGCGTGGCAGCAAGTAGCAGTCTTTCCCCTCCTATTCCCAGCTGTGCATAGGACACAACTCATCACTCAGGCAAAGGCAGAGGAAAACAATCACGAAGAACCCAGCAATCCTGAAGCGAACTTGTGCTCAAGCCATCCCCTGGTGGCTCAGTGGTAAAGAATCCCCCTGCCAGTGCAGGAGATGTGGGTTCAATCCCTGGATCGGGAAAATCCCCTGGAGTAGGAAATGGCAACCCACTCCAGTGTTCTTGCTGGGAGATTCCATGGACAGAGGAGCTTGGCGGGCTACGGTCCATGAGGTCGCAGAGAATCAGACAAGACTCAGCAACTAAACAACAAACCCCACGACAAGCCCCACATCGCATAGGCGGGAAGCCCGACATGCAAAGATGCCGCCTGGCTTTTCCAACCTCATGCTGCTGGAAACAGCCAGGTTTCCTGACTCCTGCCTACTGTTCTTTCCCAGCAGCAAGAGGAAACAACTTCCCTCCACGGGGAAATGTGAACCACTCCTGTCTTCGGCAGTACTGGCAACCACACCAGCACAGAAGGAGGAGGAGAACTTGTTGTGGCATTTTTTTCTTTTCAGTCTTATGACACGGCCCTCTGCTAGCACAATGTTATCATGAAGAAACAGTCGGAGCCTGCCTGTGAAGGGATCTCCCTACCAAGGCTGGAGGATCCCACTCCTGGCTGGAGACTAACACAGCAAGCCTGGAAATACAGCTGAACCCTCTGAAAAATGGACCCCACCTCACCAGTGTCACACAGGTGCAGGGAGAGCTG